ATAGTAATAATTCTCCTTTGTTCCCAGAGACTCCAGCAGTAAAAAAAAAATACTTTCTACTTCTTGCTTTCACTGCCTCCACAAGCGTAAGGGCATTCTTTCTTCTTGCTCTTGTACAAATGAAGGGTGTTTTCCCGCACCGCAGAGATCTTTCCTTTGTCCTCTCAAATTTCTCCCATCCTAGCACTCAGCACACTGTTATTACTTGCTGTTTACTTACCTGTCCCCAGTGCCTTGCGTGAAGTTTTGAAAGCACATGATGCTCATTAATCTTGTTCTAGGTCACTCCTTACTCCTTGAAGATTTTTGCTTACTCTCTCCAACTCTGCTTTAGTAAGAATTTTTGGTGATTTTAGTATCCAAATAGAATTTTTCAGGTGTCATAGATGATCCAGTAGCTTGGCCTGTATCAGTTCCTGACCTCCATCCTGCTTTAGCCGTTCATGCCCATGGTCTTACCCTAGACTGTGTGATTACCAATAACCTGATACCATCCTAATCTCATTTTCAAGTGTCCCATGCTTCACTCACCACCTCTTGATTTTCCATCTGACCTCCTTTCATACCCTTCAGCTTCACTGGAACTTGCAGCCCATTTATCCTAACACCTTCGATTCTTACTCATATCCTCAACCCCCTGTTTGCATAGCTTCGAATCCATGGTCTGTCATTCATAATCAGTCCTCTGCGTATAACCTTAACTCCCTTGACTTTTCAGCAGCCTTTGACTCAGTTGATCACTATCCTTCTCTGTAAAAATTTTATTCATTTGGCTTCCAGGAAACAACACGTGCTTGGTTTTCTCCCTGTGTCATTCATTACTCCTAAGTTTCCTTTCCTGATCTGTCTTCATCTCCCTGACCTTTTAGTGTTAGAGGGCCTCAGGGTTCAGTACTTGGACTTCTCTTTTCTAACAGCACTACTTTGGAGATTATTTTTCTATAGCACCAAAATAATTTAGTTAAAAATCTGTATACAAAAAGGAATTATATATATGTGTGTTTTTATAAATCACACATAAGTAAATTAAAGTGGCTAAAATTTCCCTTCTAATTCTAGTTTATTGTCGTTTCTAGTCATGTGAGTAGGGGACAGGAACATTCACTCCAGAGTTTCTAGTAACCATGTACCATGTCTTATGTTTCATGTCATGATAACATGTAGTAAAAACTTCAGTAGCTCACTTGTGATTATTCTGATTTAAACTGTTTCAATATACATTCAAGAAGTCGTATTTATAATTGCATATTTTTTAATTATAGGAGCAATTTACAGCGATGAGGGACTTGTATATGAAGAATGGCCAAGGGTTTGCACTAGTATATTCTATTACAGCTCAGTCCACGTTTAATGACTTACAGGACCTGAGGGAACAGATTTTACGGGTTAAGGACACAGAAGATGTAAGTATTTTTCTCTCTATAAAGAATACTGCCCTCTCTCTGTGGCCATATAGAAAGTGTCCATTTTCTCTATCAGTAGGGAATTTGGAAGGTATCTACCACATGCCTAAAAGAGCTCCTGTGACCAAAAAATGTTTACGCTTTTTAAATTTACTTACAGATTATATTCAGAGATGATTAGAAAAGGAGGAGGACATGTATGTGAAGTGTACACTGTCCTACGTGAGTCATGAGTGCAGTAGAGGAAGAAGAGTCCGAGTACTTGGTAGAAGTGGGATCCAGGTTGGGCTTTGAAAGGTGGTAGTTATGTCAGACAGTGTTCACAGAACATTATTAAGAACCATAATGGTATGTGCCCATTTCTGACATTCTGTTGGTATAGTTTTTACTTAGAGTTTTCTCCTTTGAATTAAAATGTTAAAGATTTTAACCAAGTTTTTTTTTATTTTTGTTTTAGAATTCTTGTTTTATTTGATGAATAGCATCACCATTGTGCGTTTTGGCAAAGATGAAATGTATATTTTACATGTGTGCCTCAGTTTTGAGCGGCAAAGTCGTTCTTTTCAAGTTGCATTAATTAGGATATAAAATCTCATCTGTACCTTCCTTTCTGTTTTTGTGTGTTCTCTCTCATTGGTAATGGGAACGTGTGCACCTGCTCAGGACCTTCATTTCGGGTGATCATTGTAGGTGGGAGGGATTTGCACCATATGACTCATGACCAACCGTAACCTGATGAATAGTTCTCTTTCTTCCCATGACTAATTCATCTGAAAGAGTTCTCTTTTCATAGGAAATTACATGCAAATCACTGAATTCTGGTAATGTTAATCTCTTTATCCCATGCAATAAACTAAAGAAGATTGAGTTACAGATGAAGACATCGCTGCTTAGTGGCTTTATTTTTATTGTTACTCTACCTGAACATCTCACCTAAGCTGGTCTTCATACCTAGATGGCAATTGTACGGGTAGAACTTATTGCTGTGTTGGTCTTGCCACTACTTTTGGCATTTGTTGGTCCTGTGAGAGTGAGGCAGTTAAACCATAGTTGGGACCATTGAGTACATTCTTTGTATTGCAGGAGGTTCCTTTTCCTTCAGATTTTTCTACTTGGAATTCAGCTATTAGTATTGGCCCACATGAGAATTTTGGGATTGTATTCTTAAAATAACTTAGCAGATCAGCATTGTAGGATCCCTTCTGTATTTTTTTCTGTCTGTTCTCCCTCCATCTTCCTCCCAACACACATATATAAGCCATTTTTTAAGCACTTGGTGAAGCTTATAGTCCTAACTAGCACATTTCAGTTGGTGGTGGGTAGTTGCTTATTTATTGGAGGCTGAGTGACAAGTATGTTAGTGCTTATTACATGTTTTTTTTTCCTTCCCACAGGTTCCAATGATTTTGGTTGGCAATAAATGTGACCTGGAAGATGAGCGAGTAGTTGGCAAAGAACAGGGTCAGAATTTAGCAAGACAGTGGTGTAACTGTGCCTTTTTAGAATCTTCTGCAAAGTCAAAGATCAACGTTAATGAGGTAACCTACAGCTGCTAGGCAGCACAAATAAGTATCTTTTTAGTTTCCTTTCTTTTAAGTTAACAGCCAAAAACAATTTTTTTTAAAAAAGAAAAAAAAATGGTGTTTTTTTAAAGTAGTCTTTATCAGTTTATGGAAAACACTTAAGTAATTCCTAGAAACTGTATTTCTTTTGCGTAAAATTCTTTCCTGGCTCTGATGAGGACACTTATATTTACCTTACTGGCAAAGAAGAAGTTTTAATTAAAGAATATGTTTAAAGTCCTGCTAAGCCTCTAAATGATATGCCAGAAAGTGGTGTGTGAAAATTATCACATCACCCTTGTATTATAACAGTTACCTATGCAGATGTGTGTGAATGGGTTGTAAAGTCAAGTAGAAAAATACCAAAATCAAAGTAGTTATTGTAATGAAAGATATCACAGAATTTGGTGTTTTTAGTCCTGCTTCCCTTTGGTGCATGACTCAGAGGGAGAAATCTGTGTGAGTGTGGATGGATATGGAACTGAAATTCACTCAGTCTTTTAGGTCTGATACAGCAGCTGCACAAGGCTTTTTTTTGTCCATGACTTAAGCACTCCACTATCTTGAGAACACAGCTGGGGATAGGAATGCTTAACAAGTAAGTTTGCCTGCCTGGGTGTAAAGGGCCAGTAGTTTACTGGATCCCTAAAAGATTAGTGTAATCCCCAACTGCTACCACCACATCCAAGCAAAAACTTAAGAAGTTCCCTTTGCTTTTGTTAATTTTAACTGAACAGTAGGTTTCTTTCCTTTCCTGATAGTGCAGAAGTCTTCATTTGCCATTTGTAGCATCACAGGTAATCAATCAGAGTTCAGCACACTTGCAGCATAAGTGAGAGTTAAGAGTGGGTTAGGTTATTGGAATCCTGTGTGTTTTTGCTTGCTGTTCCTCTCTGGTCTTTGGTTCTGTGGATCACTTTTCCTTGACTAATATGGTTGTAGACTATTATCTGACTTTCTAAATGACCAAATTACTTTAAACATGCGACAGGAAAAAAATTTAAGCTTGCTTCAAATCCTCTGTTTTACAAATAATCAGAAATAGCAGTTTGCTTTTTAGGTAAAACTAATTTTAATAAATACATGAATATAAGAAATCCATAACTTACTTATTCAGCAAGTATTTGTTGTATCCTCATATGCCTCACCCTTGGTTAGGCACCAGGGTAACAGTTACCTGGACAGATACTATTGCTTCTCTAAAAAAGTGTGCATCCTAATAGGGAACAAGTCCTGCTGAGATCCTCAAGAGTACTTATTTCTTATTCACTGCCAAGTAAATAAAAGGAAATATGAAATGCTTCTAGTTTCAACTTTCTTTTTGGTGGACAGTTTCATAGATGTTGTTTTGAAAAACATAACTAATCGTAAAATTTTAATTTTTGGTACAGTCTTACCACCCACCCACCCCACCCCCCAAAAAAAAGAGAGAGTTAACTTTGAGGTAAAACACATTAGTATTAATGAATGAGTTGGCCAGGGGAACAGTAGTGCAAGGTCACCATCTTCAGAATGGTTGTTAGAGATCTAGTTCCTTCCTGTCCTTGTTGTCACCCTCACTAGTGCCCACCTACCAAGTTCATAGGGCTCAGCTGGCGCTGGGTTGGGCCAGGGCCCAGTGAATACAATGGACAGAAGGTGTTCCTTACCTTTATGTATTTAATGAATTTACATATTGTTAAGCATTACGTATTTGTGGGAACTTACATGCTACTAAAACTCCCACTGGATTTCAGTTTCCAGTGCAGCAGAGCTACTTATTCACAATAGCCTTGTTAAAGTCAACTCTTGACATAAAAGTTTATAAAAACAAAAATAGAAAAAATACAATAAAATGAAATACTCTAGCTACTTAAAGATCTTGACTCTTTTGGAAAACATACTAACTTTATGCTAGAAATTCTTGAGAGTGTAATAATTTGTTTCTTATCACATTTCTCTCTTTATAGCCTGATAATCCAGCTGCAGAGTTTTTGGGGTAGTTAATAGTTCCTCAGACAGCTAATGCTTTAAAAATATGTGTGTGATGTCTGAGTGTGTGAAGATAGAGAAAGCATACTTTTATACGATTCGACTCTTGGACTCAAATTTGAAATCATGCAGGGACATACTGCTTAACTAAACTGCCCTCTAATTCTCTACTATTTATATCAGAGAATATATATATATATTTATATCAGAAAATATATATATATTTAAAACTTTAAAAAAAATTCCTGTTCACACCATTTGTGCTGTGTTCTGAAAGTAGTATGTAACTGTATCAAAATCACATCACTCGTAATCAAGAATTAATTATTCTTTGCTGATGCTGGAATAATAATTGAAATCAAGACATCCCAATTAAGGAATGACAGATTGAGAAATTATTCTGTGTTCCCTTTAGATTTTTCTGTAGTTCAGAGAGATGAGGAAGAACCTAGGCTGAGGACTTTATATTTAACCAAATAACTATAGTTCGAACTTGCCCTCATCACTGAACCAGCTGCTGCTGTGAGGTAGGCACTGTTTGCCAAAGAAATCCTTGAGGACATACCACAAAACCAGTTACCATTTTGTGTAATACCAGAAACCCAAACTTGCTAGCATGAAGAAACATGTCGTTTTGATTAATTTACTGTGTTAGTCTGTCCTTTTGTTACTTTTCATTTTATAGCTTATGCATTGAGGCTAGGAAACTAATGAGATTCTGTTTGTGCCTTATGCATATTAAGTTATTGAAGGGCTTTGAGTTGTGAAACAGAAATTACCATTTGTTCATAAATTCTGTGTTTTCAACCTTCTTAGAAATAAAATAATAGAGTTGAATGGTTTGAAGGCAGTGAGTAGGGAGGATGGATGAAAAAGAAAATATAAATGAATCACTTTTTTAGCTTTGGGTGGGTTACACCCCCCCCAACAATTAATTTAGCCTTGTAAGTTTAGGATTATTATTTTTAATTGAAGTAATAGTTACTGTATAATATTATGCAAGTTACAGGTGTACAGTAAAAATCCACAATTTTTAAAGGTTATTCTCCATTTATATTTATTATAAAATATTGGCTATATTCCCTGTGTTGTAGAATGTATTCTTGTAGATTATTTTATACCTAATAGTTTGAATCTCTTAGTCCTCTGCCCCTATATTACAACTTCTTTATCCATTCCTTTGTTGATGGACACTTAGGTTGCCTCCATACCTTGGCAATTGTAAATAATGCTGCTATGAACATTGGGGTACATTTCCTTTTTTTAATTAGTAGGAGTTTTTTTTGTTTTGTTTTGTTTTCAGATATATACCCAGGAGTGGAATTGCTAGGTCATATGGTAGTTCTGTTTTTAGTTTTTTAAGAAATCTCCATATTGTTTTCCACAGTGGCGAGACCAATTCACATTCCCACCAATAGTGTGCAAGGGTTCCCTTTTCTCCATATCCTTGCCAACATTTGTTATTTATATTCTTTTTGGTGATAGCTATTCTGACAGATGTGAGGTGATATCTCATTGTGATTTTTATTTGCATTTCCCTGATAATTAGTGATGTTGAGCATCGTTTCATGTACATTTCCTCTTTGGAAAAATGTTCAGTTCTTCTGCCCATTATTAAATCAGATTATTTGGTTTTTTTGATGCTGAGTTGTGTGAGCTGTTTGTATTTGTTGGCTAGTAATCCCTTATCAGCTTAGGACCATTTTTGAAAAAAAGGCAAATAGAAGTTGTTTTATCTGAGTACCATCTTCAGAAATATAGACTAATAATTTTTTATTGACATATAACCAATAATTTTTAAATATTTTACTTTCAAAACTTTCTGGAAAGATACAAGAACAATAAAAAGAATTTCTGTTTACCCTTTCTCCAGATTCACCAGCTATTAAAATTTGCCACATATGTTTGCATATCACTCTACTTTACTCCTAAATATATTAGTGTGTGTACTTTTAGATCAAAGACATTCTTTTACACAACCGCAGCACAATCATTAAAATCAAGAAAATAGATATTGACATAGTATATATTCAGTGCGTATTGACATTTTGCATATAATGCCCCTAAAAGCTAGGACATTTTGAAACACTTCCACAGAGCACTGTTTATTACAGATGGGTAATAGAGCTTCTGTGATATTTGTTTCTATCCCAGGTCATTAGTAAATGAGTGTTTGCATTTCATAACAAAGAAGTAAATTTAGCTGATCTGTTTCATGTTGCAACACTTTGGCATACTTATTAATTCTGTAAGTCATGTGTATATATGATATAAACATAAGAGAATTGAAATAACCTACTTCTGTGAAATAAGTGGTATTGTATTTTTGTCCTTGACACCTTGCATTTTTCATCTAAAATGAATCTAAAAAATTTATTAACAGATATTGTCACTTTAAATTAGTAGTCACAAACTTTTTCTATTTGTCACTTTAACTAAAATTAACATCACAAAAATCATATGCTTTTTCATGTGATACCTTGAAAGGAACACAATATCTCTTTTGTCCTTTTCCAGCTAAAAATGCATAACATGAATCTGATCATGAGGAAACATCAGACAAACCCAGATTGAAAGTTACTAGCCAGTATTTTTTGAGAAACAACAATGTCGTGAAAGAAAAAGGTGGAGGAACTGTTCCAGATTTTAAAAGATTAAAGTGACAACAAATTAAATGCACTGTGTGATCTTGGATAGCTCCTTTTGGGGGAGTTGGAAAATTGGAATTTGCATTGTAGATAATACAAAGTAATGAAACAGTGCTTAAATGTTTTGAATGTGATAACTGATGTGGTTATATAAGAGAATATCCTTGTTCTTAAGAAATACACACTCAACTCTTAAAGGACCTCTGGCATGCAGACTACTTGCAAATGGTTTAGAAAAGAAAGAGAGAGAAAGAAGAGAGAGAGAAAAGATAAGGTACACTTGGCAAGATGTTACTGACTGGTGAATATGGTGAAGAATATGCATGAATTCTTGGTACTATTCTCGTGCCTTTTCTGTATGTTTGTAATTTTTGAAAAAATAAAGCCACTATGAAGATTTAAGTTAATAATTAAGTTTTGAAGCACAGAAGATTCCATGAAGAATATAACTTCACTACCTTATTTTTCACTACTAATTCTATTCATTAATTTGTTACTGAATATCTAAGAGCAAGCGCATTTCCCGCATTGTAAATACACAGGTGCTGCTTTACCCTGACTGAAAGTCAGCTGGGGCTTCTAAGAAATCTGTTAAAGCGGCAACATACAGTTCCAGGAGCAGAATAATATTTAACAAAACCAAGACTGTTCATGGAACAGGGTCTCAAATATTGGTCGAATGAGTAATTTTTTTCTTGTTTTTATTTAGATATTTTATGACCTGGTCAGACAGATAAATAGGAAAACACCAGTGGAAAAGAAGAAGCCTAAAAAGAAATCATGTCTGCTGCTTTAGACCCGCAGTAAGCAGCAGCTCTGAGCCAGGTGAGATGCTAAAAGCGGAACAGATGCCTTTCTCATCCTCTTACTTTGGGCTTTCCCCATTAACCACTTCCCATTTCAGCTATTAGGGTATTTCCAGGCTTCTGTAATTTGTAGACATGTTCATCTGTTGGATAATTTGTCTCTTTCCCCATTGGCGTCTAAGCTGTATGAGGGAGGGCAAGGACCACATTTGTTTTGCTCACCAGTATGTTCCCAGTGCCTGGTATAGAATGGGTGTTCAAAAAATAGTGGTTGAGTGAATAGAAAGGCTTCCAAGGTCACACCCAAATTTATGCTGAATTGAAGTGGAACACTGGTTCACCTGAAAAAACAAAAAAAAAGAGAAAGCATTTGATGAATTATTTCAAAGTGAGCACATCCATATATATCAGTAATAGGCATTCCTCCTCAAATGTAATCCCAGCCCTGATTCCTGACATGATGGATTAGTTTTGCCTCTCTTTGAATTTAGCAGAAACAAAAACATGTAATGTGTTATTTTCTGTCTGCCTTCTTTCACTCAGAAATGTTTTTGAGAATTATCTTTGTTGCATATAGTAATAGTTCATCTTTATTGTATGAGTATAGTTGCAATATAATTTCTGCATTCTGCTATTGATGGACATGTGAGGTCTTCTCAGGAACTAACATGATTCCTGTGCACATTCCTGAACAAGCCTTTAGGTGCGTGTGCACGCTTTTGTTTGGTGTGTGTATATGCAGGAATGGAGTGGCCAGTAATACACTGTGTATATGGTTAGCTTTAGTAGATACTGCTGAGAAGTTTTTCTTTGTCAAAGTAGTTGTGCCAGTTTACACACCTATCAGCAGCTTATGAATTCCACGTCCTCCCCATACTTGGTATTGTCAGTCTTTTTAACTTGAACCACGCCGCTGGATGTGTGGTGTTTTGTCAATGCAGTTCTGCTAATCATTTCTTCTCAGGAATGGATTGACTTCTTTCAAATGTTTCTTCTGTAGGTCTCCGAGTAGTAGTTGACATTAAGTACCACTTAAGTTTTCATTAAGTGAACCCATTGGAGAGAAATTAGTGGCCGCATTGAAGCTGCCTATCAAGTGAGAAACCAGGTCATGTGGGACCATTTGTTTGTTTTTCTTTAATTATATGTTTAAATCCCCTGAATGGTTTCTACTTATGTTCATCAACTCTATAAACATTACCATAAAAGAATATTTTCATAGAGTAGGTTTATGATGTAATTTGATACTAATTATGGGACTATTACTAAACTTGGTCCGTTTAAAGGAAAGTCAGTTGCTCCCCACTTGAGAGCTAGTTGTGCTAACTCTTGTAAGTCTCTGGGGTCCATTTAGTAGATTACCTCTTCCAGAGCACCAAATAAACTAATACGTGCTTCCTTAGAGATATGAATGAATCTCTCTCTTCAGGGAAACAACTGAGTAATTGTACCCTCTTTTGAAATGAAGGTAGAGGGAAAACAGACAGAAAGGAGAAAAAGGGCACAGATTACCTCTGGTACTCAGACTTAGGAAAAACAGCTTTCTGGCCAAATGGTTCCTTCAGGCTTTTAGTGAAATCTTGAGTCAATAACTTTAAATCACCAGCTCCCTGAAAGTGATTATTGTTAAAATTGCTGGTATTTTTGTTTCTTTAGGTAAGCGTAGGAAGGTTTAAAAAGATGAGAACTTCAATTCCTGTTCTGAAATACATTATTTAACTCTTTTATAGTTAGTTGACTGGCTCATTCTTATCCTTATCTTAACTGACCCTAGTTGAATTTCCAGTTCTCAGAAAATATCCTTTTAGCTTACGTTTAAAGGAAAAGGTGCCATCTCCTGGCCTGTTGTGAAAATTCATTCATATTCAACCCTACACTGTACTACTATGAGTTTTACCTTAGGGAGCAAGATCTTGACCCAGATCTGCAGATAAGAGTTCCATCTTGGACACATAAATTCTTAGGCTCTGATATGTAATTCAGTTTATAGTATATAAGTTACCAGAGTGTATGTACAGAGTATGTATGTTACCAGAGATCTCTGTGGATATTTGGTTATACCAATTAGTGGGTCACTTAGTAATCAGAATACTTTGCAGCGTATTTATTTGTGATTATAGACTTGAAGTACCATGTTGATCCCATTTAAAAGGTACTGAGATTTGGGGTAAAATTAAATAGCAACTATGAACATTGTTAGTAAGAGTATGTGGACTTTAAGGGAAAGCTTATCTAGTCTTAGCGTTTAGGCAAAATTATATTGAAACACGTTAATCTCTTTCTAGTATGACCCCCTTTTTTAAAACTGAGGAAACAAATTCATCTTCAGGAAGTTCTTCCTTTAACCTAATTCTTTTCTGTTGAGCATTAAAACTGAGAGTTTTCTGCCCTTGAAAATGGGGATCAGCTCTTTTTGTGTCGTCTCTTCTTGTCCTAGCCTGAATTGGAAGTGGTATCCTGATATATATATATATACAGTCATAAAACGGCTGAATACAGAATTTCTCATGGAAAGTTTATGCAGGAAGGAGTTGTTTCCTTAATGGAAAAGGAACTTTTAAAAATAAGATGATAATGGGGTAGAAATAATATAATTACTGTTTTCCTCTTTACAGACAGGACTGCCAGATATATTGTGAAACACTTGAGTACAATAAAACTATTTTTGAAACATTTTTTAAGGGAGTTTAAAATAGCCTTGTTACTGTATCATTTTAATTTAGCTCTCTAGTTACAATCAGCCAAAACCATTGTTTCTTTCTGTATTTTTGGATATCTGCTTACTTACTGTCATCTTCTGACATCAGAAGATTAACCGTATGTAAATATGTATCTGTATCTATTCAATGTTCTAGATTACAGGAATGAAGAACTGTTGCCTAATTGGAAAGTGCCAGCATTCCAGACTTCAAAAAATAAATCTGAAGAGGCTTCTCCTGTTTTATATATTATATGAAGAATTTAGATCTTATATTGGTTTGCACAACTTCCCTGGAGAAAAAAAATTGCTCTGTGTATATCTCTTGGAAAAATAAGACAATAGTATTTCTCCTTTGCAATAGCAGTTATAACAGATGTGAAAATAAATATACTTGACTCTAATATGATTATACAAAAGAGCATGGATGCATTTCAAATGTTAGATATTGCTACTATAATCAAATGATTTCATATTGACCTTTTTATCATGATTCCGCCCTGTCAAGCACTAAAAAGGTGAACCATTACACTTTATATCTGTAATGATATAGATGATGAAATTTCCCCTCAACTCATTGCAGCGGATAACTTTTTTGAGTCATTGACTTCATTTTATATTTAAAAAATTATGAAGTATCATTCTGTCATTATATCTAATTAAAATTGTGCATAATGCTTTGGAAAAATGGGTCTTTTATAGGGAAAAAAACTGGGATAACCAATTTCTATGGCTTTCAAAGCTAAAATATATAATATACTAAACCAACTCTAATATTGCTTCTTGTGTTTTACTGTCAGATTAAATTACAGCTTTTATGGATGATTAAATTTTAGTACATTTTCATTTGGTTTGTGTGTTTTTGTTATTGTTTATAGATTTAAGGCCTTCATTTTATAATGATCACATCATTTAAATGCAGCAATAGCTCCTTTCTGGCTGGTACCTGCAGAACACTTGGCTTTAAACCCCTAAGTAAATGGTGATTTCTCTACGAACAGACCTCGCACTTTCTCTTCTAGATATATTTATTCCTATTATACAGTAAAATACATCAGCCTACATACAATAGTTTTGTATATTCTCTCTTGAAGATTGTATCTTATTGAATAAAATATCCCACTGTGTATTATTTTTATATGTAAAAAGATAAGTTTAATACTGTATCAGGGTTTAACTTTTACTATTTCAAATGTTCTACAGCTTGTAATTTCATCAAGAGAATCCTTTTGCCATTGTTAATTTGTTGAGTATAAGTCCACCAATGAAATGTTATGTAAAAAATTTTCAAATTTGCTTTATAATAGATTGAAGACTCTGAGAGAAGTGGGTGAAAGTGAAAAAGCATATGAAGGATGTGTCAGTTGCATTTTCTTCAACTCTGTATGTAGTATAGTGGTCGTAGTGTGGGAAAGATTGCTAAGTTAAATCTTGCAGCTGGCTAGGTAGTGGTGCTTTTCCTTCCCAAATTTTTTTTCCATTTTTTACAAAAGGTGGAGCATAAATAGGAAATGGACCTAGGGTGATCTGACTTCTGTACACCAGAGGGGTTGAGCAGCACAGCTTGTTAGCCGGTTAAGTGCTGGAAAAGGGAAGAAACAAGCAAGAAAACCCTGTGCCTTGTCCCTGAATATTGAGGAGGAGACCAGTCCTAGAAAGTCTAAATCATCACTCAGGGATCTTGATGCTGTCTCATTGCAGCTAGGTGTGAAGTAGTGTTCATGCCTTTGCTGAGACTTTCCAG